TGATCTAGAAGATACTTTTTTATTATAAAGTCAGAGTTTTTCAGATATTTAAACATTGTTTTCCGATATACAAGCAACGTATAATATGAGGAACAACTTCTTTGAATGAAAGATTTTCTGATCTATACGTCTTTGATTTGATCTTTGATTTCTGATGATAGCTTTTCTGAGCTGCGTGTGGTGTATGTTTTCTTGAAGCAACAACTTATATTAGTACATTTGAATTTCTGACTTGATATAATCTTTGATTCCTGTCTTCCGATCTTGATTTATTTTCTTTTTCTGGAAGTGTATATGATTTTTGATCTGAGAGCAGCGCCTTTTTGAGAACTCATTTGATTCATTTTTTGACTAACATTCAACATTCCTTAGAATTGATGTTTCTTTAGAAACTGTCACAATAGTTCTTCTGATAAGTGCGATGATATATTTATAATATTTGACTTCTTATGAATATTACTTATGCTGAGTAGATTGACTTGAGAAAATATCATCCTTTGATCTTGTCTTCATAATCTTGACTTTGTCTTCAGAACTATGAGCAATAACTCTTTTGGTGAACAAATTTTAATTTATGATCTTTGCGTTGAAAACTTGTTTCTTATGCACTAGATTTTTGATCTTTTGAAGCTTGAGCTCTTCTTAGAAACTCATCGAGATTCTTTTCTTGTCGAACATTCAACATTCAACAGAACTACTGATATTACATTAGAAACAGAATTCAATGGTGCTTCTTCTGAGTGTTAAAGTGATCCTAAAGATATCTTGATTAAGATTATCCAGAATTTTAATATCTGCACACTCAATAAAACCCTTAGAACTAAAATTGTTCTTCATAAAATATGTGTTGTTATCATCAAAACTTAAAGATTTAAATACAGATTCAAATCTTGTACTAACAATTTTTAGGTCGAGTGTTTATACTTGTACTACCCGAACACAACTGAATACATATTATTTACATTTTGTTCGAATTCCACCTAGTTCTCAGACTAATAAGAGTAGGTTGTCTCTCGCCTACACCGGGGAGAAGGACGATACCTTTTGTTTTCTATAGTAAATCTCGATGAGCTATTTTACAAACAGAAGAGATCATTACCCGCCTTATACAAAAATATTATCTAAAGAATAACTATACAATTGTGTTTGTTCTTGTCTCTTACTGCATTTCACTAGGTTTTACTAGTCTTCGTTTGAGTTCTTTATACCTAATAGGGATGATTATATGATCGCTCCAAGCGTGAGGTTTTGTCAGAACAAGATGAAACGCTTCATCGCGGTTAAGGAGGACTCTGCTTTTCTGTCGAAGTTGATTACTGATCCTATTTACATATTATTCGAATCTTACCTAATTCTGAAATTAATATCTGTAGCGTACCTCCTATCCACGCAGGAAAAAAAATGACATATTTTACTTCCTTTAATAAAATGAGCTAGATAATAGTTCATCTTATTTAACAATGAAAATAATACAAACATGTGATTTATAAAAGCATGATTTTAAGCTGAGATCAACTCGTTCCTCTCTTTTTGATAGTCATGATGTCGCATAATGCATCTTGTCAGTTTGCAGGAGAATTGTTACTTTCTAGCATTTTGCTTAACAACTAGGTTACTCCTTTATAGCCGGGAGCTCTTCTGGTTGCTTATGAAACATGTCGAATGGTCATTCTCATCCTCCATATTAATTTATAAAGTCTATTTTTCCCATTAGCTCGCCATATCATGAGAAATAACAAATTAAGAAACGAAGTTAGCCATTCAGATTCTCATCGAAATTTAATAATAACAAGCATAATACTAGAGAGGTGATAGAATTGTTACACATAAAAGCATCCATAGTTTCATAACCTCTATGCAACTTCTACCATAAAGTATGATGTACTGGTATATAATATACTTTTCAGTATGTCAATGATAGAAAAGAACAAAATAGTAACTAGTTTTTCTTAACCATTTTGGGGAATAAGAATATATAAATATAATCTATACAACTATGCCATGAAGAAAAATGCAACGAGGCAGTTAAGAAGATAGCGGTGAAAATACAATTAATTATTCATCACTTTGTTAAAATTAATTTATATTTTAGAAATTAATTTAAAAATATCTCTTAGATATTAATTTATATTTTAAAAATATCTTTTTAGATTTTTTTATATCTTTGTTAAAGGATATTTAGAATTTTATTTTGTGTATAAATAGCTTAGTGAGGTAGGTCAATATAATTCATTATAAATTATTATTCTTAATTTTATAGCCGTCATTAAATATATTCTTTTTGCCTTTCATTTTTTCTTTGTGCACCAACAATTGGTATCTAGAACTCCGGTTAAAAATCCACAGGAAACACGGGAGAACATTGAGGTGTTGTGATAATCGTTGTTTTTGATTCTGGGAATTTGGAAAACACAGCTTTATTGAGTTTCTGCGTAAATTTGCACAAGGTAGAAGATGAACAGAAACGGCGGTGATATTCATTCCAAACTTCCAGTATTTGATGGCAAAAACTAGAATCGTTGAAAGATTCAGATGCGCGTGTTATTTGATTCTCAAGATGTGTTAGACCTTATCACTGATGGCTATGATCTGTTAGAAGCAAACGTAACAGAGACACAAAAGACGAAACATAGGGCGCTAAGGAAGAAAGATCAGAAGACGTTGTTCTACATTCATCAATTTGTGGATGCGAACGTGTTTGAGAAGATTGCTGATTCTGAAACAGCAAAGATCGCGTGAGACACACTGGTCAGATGTTACGGTGATGACGTATCAATGAAGAAGGTGAAGCTTCAGTCTCTCATAAAGCAATATGAGAATCTCAACATAAAGGACAACGAGAAGGTTTCTGAGTACATCTCTAGAGTGATTCTGATCACTAATGAGATGAAAGCTTGTGGAGAAACCATTTCTGAACAAGTAATCATTCAGAAGATCTTGAGATCTTTAACTTTCCAGTTTGATTACATTGTGGTAGCAATTGAACATTCTAAAGATCTGAGCACCATGAGAGTTGAAGAGCTGCAAAGTATTCTAGAGGCGTGTGAGTTGCGTATGACTGCAAGAACTTCTGAGAGGAAAGTAGAGCAGCAGGCTCTGAAAATAATTTTTGATAAGAAGTATCAGAAGCAGACTTGATCAGAAGCCAGGAAGAAAACTAATGGTGGTCAAAGGTCAGAAGCTTCAAACTCTGATAGGCATAAGAATATCCAGAAGGAAAAAGAGAAGTCTGACAAGAAGAACGTTCAGTATTACTATTGTAAGAACTTTGATCACTATGCCAAAGATTGTTGGTCAAACAAAGAAAGGAAGTCAGAAGAAGCAAATATAGTCAGAGGAGATTCAAATGATGAACCTGTGCTATTTATAGTTTATGAATCTGATGAGGAATCGGTGAAATTATAATTTTTTTATTATGAAGGGGAAGAAGATGACTCTGAATATTCTGACTCTGAAAGAGTGTTTGAATATGAGTCTGAATCAGAAGATGACGCTGAAGATTTTGAAAAAAAATCAGAATCCAAAGAAGATTCTGATTCTGAGGAAGAGTCAGAAGATGATGACTCTGAAAACTCTAAAGGTGAGTCAGATGGTGAATCTGATTCTGATCAAGATTTTGATGATAATCCATAATCTGGTGGTAATCATGCTTCTAGAAGGGAAAACTCTAAAGACGTAGGTCCTTGAGAACAAGCTTCTAAAGATGATCAGATTTCTGATGGAAATCATGACTCTAAGAATGGACCTTCTGAAGGAGGAGCTTCTGAAGGAAATTGTCTTTGACGGTGATCATGATTCTGAAAGTGAAACTTCTGAAGATAGAGGTGATCCAGTTTTTAAAGATGATATTTCTGAAGGTAGTGGTTCTAAACGAGGTCCAGAAACTAACAAAGGTGGAGCTTATGGTGGTAGTCAAACTTCTGAAGGAGATTCTGAATATATTCAGAGACCATATAGAGTCAGAAATATACAAATTTTTTTTGCAAAGTTTGACATGTTGCAAGACACTGAAGTTGACTCTGAAAGAGAAGTTATTCAGTGTGCAATGTTAGTAGACTCTGAATCCGTGAGTACGAAAGAGACTCTTAAGCAGCAAGTCTGATTGCAGGCTATGAAAGAAAAACTTGATGTTATGGAGAGAAACAAGACTTGAAAGCTGACAGAACTTTCAAAAGGAAAAAAAGTCATCAGCGTCAGATAAATTTTCAAGCAGAAGCTAAAGCCAAATAGATCAATTGGCAAACACAAAATAAGATTAGTAGCAAGAGAATTTCTACAGAAGTCTGGACTGAATTACTTTGAAGTGTTTGCACCTGTAGCGAGACATAAAACAATTAAACTAGTGATTGCAATAATTGTTAACATGAATTAGTATTTGATGCACTTAGATGTAAAATTTACATTTCTAAATGGTCCATTACAAGAAGAAGTATACGTGTCACAACCTCTTGGGTTTGAGAAAAAGAATCAGAAAGAGATGATGTTCAAATTATACAAAATCTTGTATGAATTGAAGCAAGCGCCCAAAGCTTGGACTTTGAAAATTGATTCATTTTTCAAGGAACAATGGTTTCAGAAGTGTGAGATGAAATATGATGTTTATGTTCAGCACACTTCAGAAGGTAATATGATTCTGATATGTTTGTATGTTGATGACATAGTGCTAACAGGAAGTTCTGAACAAGAGATAGTTGAGTTTAAAAAAGTTCTGATGAATGCGTTTGAGATGACAGATCTTAGGAAAATGAGTTTTTTTTCTAAGGATTGAGTTTATATATTCCGAGAAAAGAATCATTTTACATCAGATGAAGTATGAACTTGAGCTTCTGAAGAGATTTGAACTAGAAAATTACAAAATTACTATAACACCTATTGATACGAATTAAAAGTTAAACTCTAATTCTGATGAAGAGAATGTGAATGCTACAACCTTCGAACAGTTGGTTGGTTCTCTAAGGTATTTGTGTAATATCAAGCCTGATATTTGGTATGCAGTTGGAATGATTAGCAGATTTATGAGTAAACCAAAGTGGTCTCATTATCAAGCTGCTGTCAAGATTCTGAGGTATGTGAAGGAAACTCTAAAGTATGGAGTGTTATTTCCGTCTGAAAGAAAAATCGAATCAGAACTTTTGAACTATTCAGACTCTGATTGGTGCAGAGATAGAGTTGACAGAAGAAGTACTTCTGGATACTTATTCAGATTTCTAAGAAGTCATATTTCTTGATATTTCAAGAAACAACATGTTGTTGCGCTGTCAACTTGTAGAGTTGAATATATTACAGACGTTCTGACTGCATGCCAAGCTGTGTGAATTCTAAACTTGCTGAAAGATCTGAAGATTGAGATAAATAAACCTCTGAAACTGATGATTGATAATAAATCTGCAATCAATCTTTTCAAGAACCTATTGTTACATGGAAGAAACAAGCATATTAAAACCAAATATCACTTAAGAATCAAGTTCAAAATAAAATATTAGAAATTGTGCACTGCAGCACTCAGAAACAACTGACAGATATTTTAACAAAGACTATCAAGACTAATCAATTTCTTCATTTAAGGGATGAAATTGGTGTTGTCAGTTTTGTGTAAAATATAAATTAAGGGATGGTGTTAGAATTAATTTATATTTTAAAAATTAATTTAGAAATACCTGTTAGATATTAATTTATATTTTATGATTTTTTTTTAGATTTTTTTATATCTTTGTTAGTAGATATTTATGATTTTATTTTGTGTATAAATAACCTAGTGAAGTATGTCAATGCAATTTATTGTAAATCATTATTTTTTATTTTGTAGCCGTCATTAAATATATTCCTTTTGTTTTTTATCTTTTCTTTATGCACCAACCCACTTAATTCTGAAGAGTAACCATTGGTCAACGTTCTCTAACAACTTCTCTAACGTCTTGAATTGTCTTTAATCACAATCCCACACATTTATACAGCTGATACAATGATCATTAAATTAATATAAGACATTAAAATCTAAACCATTCGATTTCTAACTGCTTATTAAGTATAAAAATATTTAAGTGTGTGAAACTCTTAATAGCATGAAATCTCAAATTATTAGCCCTCTTTGGCTTCGAAAGCAAACTCATAATTTCAGTGCAATATGTTCGCTGCTTCACTCTAAAAAGACTAATGGAGCCACAATTAGTGATATAAATGTTGGATGGATATAAATGTTAGATGGACGAGGGATAGTCATAAGTATTATAGGATGACCACAAACAAACACAGTAGTCTAGGACTTTGCGTAAAGCTTCTAAAAATAATCACTAGCTCATGCAATTTATGTAAGGAATCACTTTCTAAACTAGCTGAATTAAGATAAGTGCCACCTCGCTGGAACGATGATGTCATAGTCCCGTTGCACAACTCGACCATCCTTTTCTGCAGATTGTGAAGGAGTTGACGGATACGCCTCTGCACCTTATTTTCGTTATTTCTCCATTATTTGGTGCCACGGGATGGAATCTAAACACTTAATATAGAAAACCCTTCTGTCAAGGACTCGATCTACATTAGGGCTAACACCCCAATAATGCCACCTTAATTGATACTGATGACGTGTATGCTCGAATGGTTGCTTAAATAAGATTTGTGTGGCTCGAGAGAGTTTTATCAGGGTTCCATAGTAGGTATTAATGTTCTTGCATGAGAATCTTCTCTATAGAAATAGGAAGAGCCTCAAAGAATAGATTTCTGTAGGTTTATTAGGAGATTTGAATGCTAAGGTAATGACTCGTATTAATCCAAGAGTGTATATATTACTTATCTCTCTTGCGAGAGCCCCTCTTTTTACTGTTATTCAGGCGAACTAATGTCCTCCCTTTCTGGATCCCTAGAGAACCCTTTATATAGTCGTTCACTGACGTAATCACCATTAATCTACTTACGTAACGTTGTAGCCATCCGTAAGTACCGTACCAGTTGTTTAATGGTTCGCAACTGCCATCTATTGAGTTTTGTAACTGAACCAAATAACCAATCAATTCGGCCAACACAGCTAATCTAGACACAACTCAGCTAGTACAACTAGGCCAAAAAAAGTCTAGCCAAACACCACTAAACCACGAGCATACGATTAGTCGATCTCTATTACTTTAGCATTGATCTTCTTTTGCAAAGTCCTTTTATATGATGCTCTTCAATGTGACACTAGCAACAGTTAATAGGAAGTTAGAAACAAACTAACATGAAATAAATCTAATGGAACTCATTTTGGGATCACGGCTTCTAACTCTGAGTTAAAAATGAGTTGAGATACACAAGTCGCATGCCCATACGATATGCCTGTTGTAGCCTTGTAGGTATTAAAGAGATTACATCAATCACTAGAAGGATATTGAAAATATGCATTTTTTTCTAACAATTTGGGCAATGAAAATGTCACAAAAATGTAACTTGCCACTATAAACTATTATAGTTTGAATCAGTGAATAACCATCATAGACACCATTTAAATAAACTGAGAAAATATGCTAGACACCATTTAAATACAGTATCATATCAGGTTACATTCTATATAGACACCATCGTCATGATACAAAAGTATGCTTGAGAGCAAGAGTAAAGATAAGGATGAGCCATTGACAATGGCCAAAACAAGGTCTAGAAACTGTTTGAATCAAAGACAAATCAAAAGTAATTTATTAGAAAACTAATTCATTCACTAACCAATGCCTTAGTCTATATATCCATTATAGTCTATAACACCAAACACTAAAAATAATGTTCAAATATACTTAACTCAAAACCAAATGCTATAAATATCTAACACTTTGTAATCACCAAAATCCATCCAGTAAAGCAAAAACAACACAAAGGAAGAAGAATATCGATTAAGAACTTTTACCGAACACTTGGTGGATATAGCATGATTTACCGAACACTCCATGAGTTCGTCAACCACAATTTGCAGCAACAACAAATAACAACAGAACAACAATACTGTAGCAAGAATTGAACTAAAACAGAAACAAAAGAAGGTGAGGCTCAAAAGAAGGTGAAACTCAAATACACATAAAAAAGTGGGAAAAAACTAAGACATAAAGGAAGGTGAGGCTCACCGGTGGTTGATTGAATGGAAACTTGAACTGCAAGACTGGAAAGTTGGAAAAAAATAAAGTCTATTATTTTGTCACTTCATCTCCTAATTTTGTAAAGACAGTTGGAAAAAAATAATAGTATGATAGAAAAGTATTGTAGTCTCACTAAATGTTAGTGTAAACATGTTTCACAATAACCCTGTATGTCCATTAAAATCATACTATATTAATCTGATTTAGATGGTGTCATCAACCAAAAGAAAAAATTTAACAAGCAAAACAACTTAATGACAAAGAACCGAACTTCAATACAAAGTATATCAAAGTTTAAAGAAATTAAAATGACCAGTTTATGTACAGACAAGGAAAACAATACAAGCCTGGTAAGATAACTTTGAGATGCTAAAAGAAAAGACTTACAGTGCAATCAGAAACTAGTATCAAGCAATTCAAAATTAACAACCATAATTTACAAACAGTACAGAAACTCATTTGAGAACTCTCTCATCAATTCATAAATTAGAAGCAATTATGACACTATCAAGCAACTAAGAAGGATCAAGACACTATATATGGGTACCACCACGGAGCCTGAGAACAAGGTGAAGTGTAGATTCCTTCTGAATATTATAATCAGCAAGAGTGCGTCCATCTTCAAGTTGTTTACCAGCAAAGATAAGACGCTGTTGATCAGGTGGTATCCCTTCCTTATCCTGAATCTTGGCTTTCACATTATCAATAGTATCCGAACTCTCCACCTCCAAAGTAATTGTCTTACCCGTTAAAGTCTTGACAAAAATCTGCATCCCTCCACGCAGGCGAAGAACCAAATGGAGAGTAGACTCTTTCTGGATATTATAATCCGCAAGAGTTCTCCCGTCCTCCAGTTGCTTTCCCGCAAAGATCAATCGCTGTTGATCCGGAGGAATTCCTTCTTTGTCCTGGATCTTCGCCTTCACGTTGTCGATTGTGTCCGAGGATTCAACCTCCAGTGTGATGGTTTTTCCGGTTAGGGTTTTCACGAAGATTTGCATGCCGCCGCGGAGACGGAGTACCAGGTGGAGCGTTGATTCCTTCTGTATGTTGTAGTCGGCTAGGGTTCGGCCGTCTTCCAACTGTTTTCCGGCAAAGATCAACCGCTGCTGATCGGGAGGAATTCCCTCCTTGTCTTGAATCTTAGCCTTCACGTTGTCGATGGTGTCGGAGGATTCAACCTCCAGTGTGATGGTTTTTCCAGTTAGCGTTTTGACGAAGATTTGCATGATGAACTTGATCTGATAAACAAGCGAGAGTGATTGATTTTAGATAGAGAGAGAATATAGGAGATTGATGATTAAGGAAGGAGAAGAGGTTGTTAATTTATAAGGAGTCGATAGAACAATTCAGAATGTTGAATGGGGGAAGATAAGTAACGAAATTTGTTTCGGGATGACTCTAGAATATTCTAACACTGACTTGGCGATTTCTTCCGCAAATGGTCAAAGCTATATTTAGCAAAGAAAGAAGGATCCAGAACGTTGAATGGCGGAAGATAAGTAAAGAATATTCTAACACTTGACGTCACCATTTCATCTAACGAGTACCAAACTTGCACGAAACATTAGCAATAGGACTTTTAAAAAAAATGATGAATTGAATCCAACCATTAAACCTAATTCAATTTAAGTTAAAATAAATTCAACTCTTATATTTGATTAGTGAATTAAAACATAGTATAATTGTTTTAGAATTAAACCGAAATCATATTACAAATATATAATAGAATAAAACAAATTGAGTTTTTAGGCAATTTTAACAAGTGTCACAATTTTAGACAATTTATTATTTAAATTGTTTCTATTTTAGGAATTTTTATTATAATTGTTTAATTTTTTTGTTTTAAATAATTATATATTTTTTGTTCATTCTTCTAATCCACGTTATATTTCTTTGTTGTTGACAATTTGTATCATTTTAAATACATTATCATTTCTCAATCCATGAGCCGTCTTATTTCTTCTTCACAAAAAAAATAGCACACTAAATTATTCTTTCTCGATGCAAACTCGGAATTAATGTAGATTTCTTAAAGGTTATAACCAATCCTTCTGTGCAAATGACAAGGTTCGATTGTTCAGCTTCTATTGGTTTAACGATGCAATCTTTTTAATATTAATTTTTCATCTCCAAATACCTAATTAGTGCATCATCAACGTCAAATGTTGGATTTTCAAGGTTATTTCTTTCAATTTTTAGTATTTCCTGTTTACTTTCCCCGTGTATAAATATGACCTAATTCTTCTCCAATTTTTCATATTCCTCGAATCCTTCTCTCTGACATTTTAAAATTTTGAAATGGCTGCCGCAAGACACGACTATGTTATTGAAATCACTCTTGCAAAGAAATCATGGGATGTTGTTGTTCGAGTGATTCGCTTATGGTTTGTGCCAGACATGAATTCAAAGCAAAAATATTATGCGATGGACGTGAAAGGGTATATGAAAGGAATTGTGTAACTACTAAGTTTAAGGTCATTGAATTGCAGTCCAATGGGTAAGCTATTTTTAAATGATATGAAATTTATATACTTTTATGTGTCAGTTATGTATAACTTATGAATTAAGTGGTTTCGTATTTTTCTAATTGTAGCATGAAGCTTGAATGTACACTCTTTGGACCATATGTTGATGAGCTTGATGCATACCTCCAATCGGGTAACAGTGAGATTGTTATTGTGCTTGCTCAATATCTCAAAGTCAAAATGTATAATGGAAAAATCCAAATGCAGAATGCAATGAATTGTACCAAACTATTGTTCAACCCATAAACACCTGAGGCAGATAGTTTTAAATTGAAGTAAATACTTTTTTATAAATACTTCATACTCATGATTGATGACTATTTTGTTTTCTTTTTTACTAGTGATAACATTGGATCACCCACTCAACCATTTTGTTATATGAAGGATCCTTCTGAGATGAGTTTAGAAGAAGAATTCTTAAATTTGAGTCATTGCAAGACTATAGAGGAACTAAAGGACTGTCAAGATGTAATTTTGATTATACATATATTTCATACATATTTTACATGACATGCTTAATATTTTATTGTATGATTTCACATTGTGATTTCATTTTTGTTTTTGTAGGACATGGTTTGTGTTGTGTTAGGCATGATCAAACATGTAATTGATGGCAATGATTGGTGGTATGTTGCATGTGTCTACAATAAGGGAGTTATTGCAGATTCCAAAAGGTTTTTCTGCCCAAAGTGTAACCAGCATATTTAGACAATTGTGCCTAGGTGTTTAGTTGTAAATTGTTTCAATTAATTCATGACTAATTTATATATTTACAAATTACTTAATGTCATCACTCCGCTAAATATATAGGCAGCGTGTCAAACTTAGAGTAATTGATGAAATAGAATATGCTACTTTCGTGCTTTTTGATCATGATTGTTATTTGTTGACCAAGATGACATGTTTGGACTTGATTAGTGAAATGGACTGGGTGAGTATTAAGGAAAAAGACAATTGTTACATATTATTAATTGTCATAATGTAATCAAAATATTATTTAACAGAAATTTAACTTAATAATTTATGTTTTAGAAAGAAGAGCCAACAATTGTGCCTAGAGTGATGGTGGCTTTGTTGATCAAACCTTTCTATTCAAGATATATGTCAAAAATGATGTGAACTCTAGATTTCAACCGTCGTTTCGCGTAAAAAAAGTTTGTGCTGACCAACATACTATTACTAAGTTCAAATCTGTTGCAAAGATCGATAATACTCTCTTACATAGGGGGAGTTTTGCATCTTAGAGGGAGAAGCTCTTTCCGGAAAGTAGATCGCATAAAGCAAGATTGTTTGTCATCATCAAAAAGGGGGAGAATGTAAAATCAAGCTTCTCAAATGAACTTTTGTTTTGATGAAGACAAACCATGATTGACAAAGAAGGCAAAGATTTATGATCAAAGCTCAAAGCATCTATGGACAAAGTCTTCAGTTTAAGCTCTTAGCAACTTTCAAGGTATAATGTTAATATTTACTTTGAACTTAAGATATAGATGCTCAATGATGAAAAGAAATGTTTTATAAATCATTACTCAAGTTTTTCAAAGTTAAAATTCATTTTTCACTTGAGTGCAATCAATTTGTATATTAGTGTAATCGATTGCATGCTTCAAATTTTTAGATCGTTTGCTTATGTTTCTCAGTGAAATCGATTTATATTGCCTGTGCAATCGATTGCATGCTTAAAATTTTTAAAATATTTGCTTCTGTTTCTCAGTGCAATCGATTGCACTCAGTCAAATTTTGCTACTGACTTCACATGCAATCGATTTACACTCTTGTGCAATCGATTGCACACTTAAAACTTTTGAAAATATAGCTGTTGAAACCTTGTGCAATCGATTTATACAAACGGTGCAATCGATTGCATGCTGCACGATTTTGAAAAACAGCAGCTTTGCATATGCATGTTCATAATACCTTTTCATTGAAACCTTTCACTCAATCTTGGCAATTGTTCATGATTCATTTTCAGAACTTTATGATGTTTCAAAAAGGTGCTATGAACATATAAATATTCATTTTCAAAATCATTTTCAACAACCTCTTCCAAATATATTTTCTGAATTTTCAAAATACAAACTCAAGCTTTTCTTCACTTTCATACATAAGTTTTCTGCACACTTTCATACATTGTTAAACAGAAAACTTTGAGCAATTATATCTTGAGTCATTGTACAATATTATCATTGGAAGAGAAGATCATTCATTTTTAGATCACTCTAAGTGATCAATACTACTCAACTCACTCAAAATCAAATATTGATAGTTACTTACTTATTTTTCCAGGATTGTTGAAAATAAGTTTAAGTGGTTTTTAAATCTTGTCTTTCCAGGATAGTTGGATACAAGTGTAGTCACTTTGAGAGGATTGTTCTCATTGTTGACATAGTGAAAATCCAAGAGGATTGTTCTTGGTCCAAGAGGATTGTTCTTGACTTTTTGGTAGTTCTTGTTTAAGTTTGCCACAATAAGGAAATCTCTTTCATGTTGAAAGGGGACTAGAGTACTCTTGGACTGTAAGGGGAACCAGGATATATCACCCGTGTCTCTTTATTTTTCTGCACTTTACTCTTTCCTAAACTCACAATTAACTAGAAAAATAACATCCATCATCACTAAAACCAGAATTTTTTAAAGTACCTAATTCACCCCCCCCCCCCCCCCCAGGCTCACTTCGTACTTACATTTGATAAAAAAGTTTGTCCTCGCACTACAAGAAAATTGGCAGATTGCGACAGGTATTTTTGTAGATTACGACGGTTAAAACCGTCGCAATTTGCTTTCCATGACAGTTGCTTTACCGTCGCAGAAGTGTGTGTCCCCAACCTATTTCGCGACGGTTACAAAAACTGTCGTTCAAGTTTACGACGGGTTTGGAGCTGACATAATCAAGTATTGGTGACTGTTTGATACCGTCGTGACTATCTTTTGAGTTTCTTTTAATTATTGATGGCGACGGTTCGATATTGTCGTGAATATCTTTTGAAATTGATTAAATTGTTTATGGCGATAGTTCGATACTGTCATGACTTTTGTTGATTATTTTTAATTGTTGATTACGACGGTAGTTATCAAAACCAGCTCGTTGTAACCTTTACACTTGTTATTACAAATGAAATTAGCACGTCTGTTATCGATAACAAAAACATAATAACAATTATAATATGAAGAGATTTTTTGTCCTTCTTTCCAAGTAAATTTCTCTATACCTTTCTTATTTCTATTTCCTCTTTTTTTTCTCTTCATTTCTTTTGCTTCTACTAGTTTCTCTCTTCTTTGACCCACAATATATACACTTATTACCTTACAATTTAAAATTTTAGTAAAAATAAAATCCAAATAAAAAAGGCGAATTTATTTACTTAAGTTGTTATGGTCATGTAAGGCGGCTTTCTAAGAAAAAAGGGGTACTTACGTAAGTTACAAGTCTTATCTTATATATCAGCAGCTTAGCACTAAAAGCAAGAGAGAGAAATGATAGACTTACAAATTATAATTATTAAGTATAGAATGATCATTTATTTTTCATCCAATTAAGCATACATATGCATGTATAACACCTTTTGTTTTATTTATGGTTTTATGATGAGAAGCAGTGCTAGAACTTGTTATTATTACAAAGAGTGGTTCATTGAGCTTATCAATTAACAAAGACGTAGTTAACTGTAAGGTGACCCGCCTGGTAGCCTGCTCCATTTGTATCCAGTTGGTTGAAGACATTCACATCCAAATCCAGTCCACCATTAGAGCACTGATCCACTATTCTCACTGTTACCTGAGCACCAGTTGCTGTATTTGTCACCTGCATAATCCATCACCACTATATTATCAATTCTCTTGGACTAACTAGTTACAAATGATGAAGTCCCTGCACATGTCAACAAATAAACTCATTAAGAAAATGCTAGGATATGAAAGAAATGGTCGTACACTTAAGCATTTGCCGCAAGAGTCTCTGCCTGTAGGTCCGGCGGGTCCACAAAAGGCAGTCCAACCGTATTGGCTACACCATGACAATGGCTGGCTAGCATCCCAGGTAGCACAGTAAACACTGGCTGTGTTGTAATCCCAAAAAAAATTTAAAACCAGCACAAGTAGTATGAAACACATAAAAACATCAATGAGATTACAGCAGTAAGTAACAATAGAAATGATAAGAGTACAAAAAGTCATGGATAGACAAATTTTATATGTGAAAATAAGCCTCATTCCTTGATAAAACTGTATGCTTCAATTGAATTTCCAAACAATTAGCAAAGTTTGTGATTCTAAATTTCAGTAGGCGAACACATTTAATAGTCAGAATTTGTATTTGTCCAATATTGGCAAATGCAAGTAAATTAGCTCAAAACGTGACAACACATTTGTCCAATATTTTTCACATTTGCAAATCATTCTAAAAGGCAACACAACACAATCCAGGTGTCACATTTAGCTAAAACTTGATACATAATCATCAATTATCAAGAATAACAAGTAAAATCAAACCTTAGAAATGGTCAATGCTGGGCTCCATTGTTCTTTTAGAATGTCAAGACAGATGCTTCCATTGCTGTTGATGTTTGGGTGGAATACCTTAGTCCTAAATGCAACCTGCAGTATTAAAATAACTTTAGCATGTTTAGACTATTTAACTAAATACATGGTACAAGATATTTACAAAATTGATTAACAGGCAATAAAACAACATTTATAACTTGTGAACAAATTAAACTGGATAACTAACTGTCAACTGTTGAGGAAAGAAGAAAATGAAAGAGAACAATACGATTTGATGAGGAAAGAAGAAAATGAAAGGCAAAATATAATTGAAATGAAAAGTCATCTAACAGCTTCTTTGTTAGTTTTTCCAACGCCAATAGAAGTTTGTGAATTAGTGACAAATAATCAGATTTATAACCAACCAGAACTAATAACCATGTGATGTTTTCTACCTTCCAATACAGCAAAAGCTAGTAAATATCCATATGCTACAACAAAAGACAAATATAAAAGCGTGTTCGAGGGCAAGAGGCACAAGCAGCACAAGCCCAAAATGTGAAGGTGCAAACTTATTTTAAATTGCGGAGTCTAATCGATATTCTTAGGGGAGCAAATATGCAATATATCTATTCATATTTAATGTGCAATACAAGCTTGGCTTCCTTTAACCTGGCGTTTGCATTTATTCAAAAATAACACACTCACTAGAAACAACAACAAAAATGGTCATGGTCGGATTAACAAATCGTACAAAAAAGAAACAATCATGCTACAGAGTACATATAGACAAGATCTGCCTTGAAGCATTTGAAAAAAAAACAAACGAACAAATCACAATAAATTATAAACATCATAAAAACAGACAAAACAAACAAGCAACTAACGTAGAAACAAGTAACGGTTCAATTACCTTTGGTGGCTTGAATGGATAATCCGGCAATGGTGTGAATGAATGTTGAGAATCCATGGATGATAGGGATAGAGGTCATACTCACATGAGATATATAGAGCATATGAATACTCATTTGGTAACATAATGAAAAGTTTATTGAAAAGATAATGAAATGTGTACATTGTGACCTAATTTATATACTCAATTGTGTACCTAATTGAGTAACTAACAATTAGCTAATTCCTAACTAACTAGCTAAAAGGACTATTTTAACAGCCTCCCTCAAGCTGGTAGGGATGTGAATCACAACCAACTTGAATTACATGAAGCAATCACTAAAATACACAATGGACCTGGAAACATACAAAAAATCAGTACAATAAAGGTGCTTTAAATCTTCTGCTTTTCACCCTCACAATATTGTTTCACCATGAAAGGCTTCCCCGCTATATTGTGATGCTCCAAAAACATAACCATGGCAGGGATAACCCAATATGTAGAAATGTCGAAGAGCTTTGTTCATTAAACATGTAATATTGTTGCACATGAATTTCTTGATGTACCACACTAATTAAATCCATGACAGAAAACTTGAATTGAAATTGAAATTTCTAAGCAATAATCTTGTTCATGCATGAACGTCGACTAGAAACCACCAACTACTTCATCCTGAATAACTCATTAACGGAAAAGAGGATGCAGCTAACAACTTTGCTCGTGGACACAATACCATTGGAAAAGAAACTGTCAATGTATGCTTGGGCCGTATCAGAAAGTTTGTAAATAATTATACTGGTCTCTAAGGCTTTCTGGTTTTCAATATTGTAGGCGGAGGCACTGGTTTTGGTCTTGGTTCCCTTCTGCCGAAACATCTTTTAGTCGATTATGGCGAGAAATCCAAGCCTAGATTCATTTTTTATCTTTCCCCTCAAGTTTCAACCTCTGTTGTTGATCCTTACAATAACATCCTCTCTACTCATTCCCTTCTTGAACATACTGATGTTACGGGACTCCAATCTTCAACTAGGAATTTTAACAAACACCTTGACACCAATGGCAAAAGACACCAGCGTCAACGTGCTACTGGACTCCAATATTCAACTACGCATTTTCACAAACACCTTGACACTAATGGAAAAAGACACCACCGTTAGCCTCTACAATAACACCATCACCATCACTAATCTAAAGCTCCATCATCTAATGTCAAAGCTCCGACGGGATAAAAAATTGTGATCTAAACAGTAGGATGATCGAAGACTTTAACTTGCATATTAGTGAGAAACGTCAAAACACCCCCGGGATCAAACACGGTGATGAAGTCATAGTGGTGATTCAAATACCCAAAATTATTTTCATTTGAGAGTAAAAGAATCAAAATATGAGATTTCATTACCTCCTTTGTGATGACGAGTTTGTGACTTGCTGATTCCAATCTTGATGACATTGAATCTTGTGCGATGAAGACCCTTGCGGAACGATTAGCAGCAGAAAAGGAGATTTTGAAAACCTAACATCAATTCAATATATTCAAACTCAAAATCAATCATCACAAAGAGCTCAACCATAAGATTCAAGTGAATCTCCAATGCTGAAATCAATGGAAGAGAATGAGAGAGATGAGAACAATGCAAAAAGTGATACATAAAACTTACTGTGTTTGAAGAGATGAACGCAGAGGATGTTAAACTGCTTGCTGTGTGTTTTTTGGTGTGAAGATGAGCGGTTTGAAGAGATTCCTTTCGGTGTCAAGGGGTTTCTTTCGGTGTGAAGAAGAACGGCATGAACGGCACCGCGAGTAGAAAAAGTGAACGCAGGAGTAGAAAGTGAATTGATGTTTTATGTATTTTAAGAGCTTTTTAACTTTTTTACGGTGACGGGTGTTTTACCGTCGTGCCCATGAGAATTTTTAAAGGTTTTGGGTGCGACAGTTGTTTTACCGTCGTGAAATGAATTTCAGGACGGATAATTTTACCGTCGTGAAAGGTTTAAGGGTGCGACGGGTGCTTTACCGTCGTGATATGCCTTTTAGGACGGTTAATTTTACCGTCGTGATTAGTTGTTGGTGAAAAATCAATGTTAAAAGTGTTAAATGGGGGCCGACGGTTGTTTTACCGTCGTAATAATAATAGTATGATGGTTAATTATACCATCGCAAAATAAATATTAGGGACGGTTGGTGTCAACTGTCGTAAACACTGTCTCTATATGTCAATTACGACAGTTATCACATAACTGTCGCAATTTTTGTGTCGTTAAACACTAATTTTCTTGTAGTGTCGAATATTCAAAGAAGGGGATCTGGTTCTCAAGAAGACTCTCTTACCTTGCCTAGATTCATGTGGTAAATAGACACCTAACTATGAAGGTCCATATATGGTTAAAACATAATTCTCTGGAGAATCTCTAATCCTTACAACAATGGATGAATAAGAACTACCATATCTGTTGAATTCTGACGCAGTCAAAAAATACTATGTATATAAGGCCCACTAAGTCGAAACCCCAAACGAGCGACTTGGGCAAAAAGGGGCGTCCCGGTAGATTGAAAACTCTAAAGGGCAATCTAGGAAAAAATTAGGGACATACAAACAAAATCATTATCCCGGTGGATTGAAAACCCGAAAGGGCGATCCGGGCAAAAATTATGGATTTTACTCAAAAAATGAACAAATAGACTGCGATTCAAGAATTCATTACTATGACCATGACTAAGGGGAAGGATTAATCTGAATCATCCGACTAAGAAGCAAAGAATATTGGAGTTATCAAAGGACATTGGATAATTATAAGTATCAATTACCATTTTCATTCCCATTTTCAATTTTTAATAAAAAAATTCTATAATTACCTCTTTTTAGGAATTGCATCTTGTACTTTCGCCTATTCAAAGGGACTTTCATTAATAATATAATTCATTGATCAATTCTATTTTTTTTATCGTTGGGATAACGTCCAAGTCATCCACAAATCCCCACGAAGCCACTTCCATGAGATTATCCCTACAGAGTAATCTTCACAAATTCATCTTCAATGAAGAGTTATACCCCAAAATTTGCCCTCCCATATTCTTCAAGAAATTGCCAAGCCAAGTCACAAAATTCCCCAAGGGTTGTGCAGTGCAACAGTCTCCCATACAGTCAAAATTAGGGTTTTGAGTCTGATCAAGAAAAGGAAGTTTTCAAAGGCTCAATCAAGTCTCATATGCTCACAAACATGGTCAAACATCCTCATATCAAGTTTCAAGGCATTCAGCTCAAGATTGCACAGTCAAAACCCTAAATTGCACTACAGTCAACTGTAGGGGCAAAATGGTCATTTGGCAGTCAAAAGTTCAAATTTTTGGTCAACATATCATTTTGAAGCCACAAACATCATTTGATCAATGCTTGATCATGATTCTCAAAATTTGGCTCAGAAATCATCAAAGATGCAAAAGTTGCTATATTTGGACAGCTGAAAAAGTCAACTGAAATTGACCAGGGCATAACTTTCACATGGATTGTCAGAAAAATTCCATCCAAAGCTCATTTTGAAGAGAAAGACATTTCCTACAACTCATCTTCATACTTCAAGTCCAAGAAATGCTCTCACAAAAAGTTATCAATTTCAACATTATAGGTCATTTTCAAAAGTCAACAAAAAGGGATTTTAAGTCAAAGGCCATAACTTGAGATTGGTAAATCAAAATGACATGGGACCAAAGGCATTGGTTAAAGGACTCAAAGACCTTTCCAAAATGTCCAAGAACATGTGGAAAGCTTAAAAATTGAGCAAGTTATGCCTTGTAGAAGTTGGGAAATTTTTGTGAAATGGCAAAAGTCAACTATCCTTGAAAATCCAATTTTTGACAAAAGGGCCCCATTTTTTCCATTTGGTTCATCCTTGTCATGCCACACACGTGTCCCATGGTTAATTTCAAGACCAAATATTGATTTTTTTATTTTATTTAATTTTTGATGATTTAATTCATTTTAATTCTTTGAAAATTCAAATAAAATTTAAAAAAACCAATGGAATAGTGTCATGTGAACTTGGACAATTTCTATGTATCATGAACCAACTCAAGAAATCAGGCTAGGGTTCATTTGCACATTAGGTCTAGGTTTTGGCTAAAAAGGAGGAAAAATGGTTAAGAGTGAAAACCCTAAGACTAATTCCTTCATGAGCTTGAATCTAGGTCAAAGAGTAAGCCAATTCCATTCCATGATGATCATTGAGTCAAACCCTAACCAGAATGCAGCAAAAGTCTCGCTCAAAAGTGGATTGGAACTTTGAAAAATAAGCCATATAAGTCAAAACTGAAATCAGTGCTAGACAATCTTTTCAAGCCTTAATTCTTCTTCCATTAGCATCCTTAGGCATTCCTGAAGGCACTCCATGCATCTGGACGAAAAGATCTACATACTCGCGCCTAATTTATATTAGGAAATAAGTTAATCGCTATTTTTCTGTAGCTAGCTTTAAGCCACGCATGAAAAACTGTGGCCATAGGGTTTTATGTTTCAGGGTACACGAGGAAGAAGGAGTCGTGGCAGCCCATGATACGTTCATTTGAAATTTCGCGCGTCCCCTCCACTATGCGTTGGTTTTAATTTTTGTTATTTATTAACCATTATATGTTAATTGAAACGCAAGTGCTTCAGTGGTACAGCTGTTACGCTTGCATTGTCTAAGACCTGGGTTCGAGTCCCAGGTCTGAATAATTCTCATATTATTTTTCAACTTGAGTTCACATGCAGCGCTAACATTGATGCCTACCATACACTTCACAATCAGCTCATCCACGTGTTCCAGGAGGTCTATCAAAGGGTTCAACGCCCTCGCATTTGAGTATTTTCTTTTTCGCGCGTGAATATAATGTACTTGTACCAAAGCCATGTAATAGCTATTAGACATTTCTTTTTTTGCAATTTATTTTAAAACGGGTCTGGATTAATTTGGCGTTGTAGACCCTCGCCCTTTGTAATAGCGTAGGACTTTTATCTTTTCCGCACTTTAAATTCCCGCAAGTATATAACTGTTAAACAATAACATGAAAGAATGAATGCCCAAAAATAAAATCGAATCGTTAG